TTGGCAGTGCTGGTGGCGGGTGGGAGGGACTGATGTGCACTTGTGACCGTGTCCTGGTGTGGGCAGTGGGTTGGCAGTGCTGGTGGCGGGTGGGAAGGACTGATGTGCACTTGTGCCTGTAGAGGAAGTATGGCGTGGTCCTGGACGAGATCAAGCCCTCCTCGGCCCCAGAGCTCCAGGCTGTGCGCATGTTTGCTGACTACCTTGCCACAGAGAACCGGAGGTGAGCCTGGCTGGGGCAGGTCCAGGGTCTGCTCCAGCCACAGAGGGAGGACCCCTTCTCCCCACCCTTCACTTCCTGGCGTCTCCACTCCCCTCACCTGCTGTAGAGCCCTTTGCAGGGCGGGGGCTTGACTGCATGTGGAATGCTGAGCTGCCCGTGGCCTTGGCTTGCATTCCTAGCATGGAGAAGGGCATGGGGACCCTGAGAACAGTTCACTAAGCCCTGTCCCGGGCCTCAGACGCCCCAAGAGTACTGTCCCTTCCTACAGCCATGCTGGCCACACCCAAGGCGGAGTCTGCCCTGCCTGCTTCACCAGCACCCAGGCCTACCCATGTTGGCAAGTTCCTGGCACAGAGGCCTTTGGGATTCCCAGTCCCCAGAGTTGACAACAGTGATTCAGTTTCTCAGCTGTCATATGCAGCCTCCCCAGCAGGCCTGGGGTGCCCACGCCCACTTCTCTCAACCGGTTTTGCCATCTACATGAGAATGCATGGCTCAGACATCGAAGGCTGGACACTGGTGTGGCAGGTTAGGGTGGCCTGGCACTCTGCAGAGATGGGCCTGGCACTCTGCTGCTCGTTGGCATGCACCCCTGGGCTGACATACCTTCTCTGTGCTCCTGAAGAATGGGATCCCTCACAGTCACAGGGCTAAGGCCGATTCCTGCCTTAGCCTCACTGAGCAGCCACATCTCACAGGGATGCCATCGTGGTGGAGCTGGACCGTGAGATGAGCAGGAGTGTGGATGTGACTAATACCACCTTCCTGCTGATGGCTGCCTCTGTCTACTTCCATGACCAGAATCCGGATGCAGCCCTGCGCACCCTGCACCAGGGTGACAGCCTCGAGTGGTGAGTGCCTGGAGCCCAGGCTAGCCTTGACTCCCATAAGTTGTTTTCTGATCGCTACACGCACACACGCATACACACACACACACACACACACACACACACACACACACACA